CGACCTCAAAGTCGTCTACTCCTGCTACACTCATGAATTAAGCGATATGGTTACTAAAATACATCTTGAACTAAGTAGTCTCGCAACGTGGTGTGCTGAATCCTGTCTAAATTTTAACATTGACAAATGTGGCTGGATTTGTATCGGCAACAGTAAGCTTGATCTAACTCTTGAAATAAATGGGTGAAAACTAGCCAAGCCCAACTCAGTCGTAGATCTCGGTATCAGATACTCTAGTAACTTAGCGTTCTCTGAACAGACTGATCACGGGAGACGTAAAACACGAAGGCTGCTAGGATGCATAACACTCAATTTCTTTTGTTGTGAAACTGGGTTTTATTATACAAAGTATGTGACCCACCTATCTTAGAATACTGCCCGTTTATTCTTAGCGGACTCAGACAAAATGACAAGCTTAAATTAGAGGGAGTGCAACGACAGTTTACCTCAAGAACTCTTGGTTTAGAAAGTGGTCTGGAATACTATGAGCGATGCGAAAGACTAAGATTAGAACCACTCTGGAGAAGACGTCTTAAGCTAAGCTTTATCTCTTACTACAACCTAACTAATCTTCTCTTGCACTCCTCCGAGCCAATAACTAAACCTACCACTGTCATCAGTTGCAATCTTAGAAATCACACAAACCAGCTGCTATTGAGCATTGTCAGACTTACATTCGGTTCAACTTCTTCTTAAATAAACTTTCCGTTCTTTGGAATAGACTACCCGCTAATGTACGTGATGCAAACACACTTCCCGTGTTCATTTCCTCAGTTCCCAGACTACTCAAAGATGACAATGCACTTCTACATTTGACTCTTACACCCCCTTTTTTACCCTACATAGATATTTTATTTTTTTTCATTAGACGTGTTGTTACAACAAACTACAATTATAAATGTTAATATTATTGGAACTAGATGATAAACATTTCTACACAGGACAGTAATATTAGTTCACACATAATATAAAAGTTAGCATAACGGGACTAGTTAGTTAGTGCACAAAAATAACAATAGTTAGTTAACAGAATATATATATATATATTTATTAATCACTCCTTTAGGACTCCTCTTGCTTTCTTTTGCTTTGCGTCCTCAACTGGACCTGGATAACTGCATGAAGCATAACATTGTGAACCTGGTGGTCTTCTGATTTCCCTCTTTCCGCGTCAGGACTATTAACTACTCGACGAGTACATAACATAATTGGCGACGGGGAAAACTCTAATAACTCACTCAGCAGCAGTACATAACAGTTCTACATTGACTGTACACTCTCTGTCTCCCATACCTTCCTGAACAGCCTAGTTAGAGCCATTGTGGGAGTCTCGCCACCATCTTTAAAAAGAGCCGGGCGCCTTATAGCGTTTCAACACTTGTTTTACCTTATGGACCCCCAGTTCGGTGGGTGGGTCGGTACTAACCGACCAAGGAGCACAGTAGACACTGAAGCTAAACTGCTTCCAGAAGTGCTCTGCCCAGAGTTCCGTGCGTCTTTTCAAGCTGGTAATTGGCATGCTATCTGCCTCACAGACTGTCTCGCTGACACCTTGTTTCTTGCTGCCGGTGGCTCGGATGAGTTGGAAGAGCTTCCGGCTGTTGCCAGATGCAGCAGCTGACTCCATCTCACACGCACGTTCTGACCACCAGGCTTCGCGGTCCTTACCTATGCACTGTCTAATCTTTCGCGCGAGCGTCTTTCGCTTATTGTTGTATTCGCTGCCAGCCGGAATGGACCGGCGTTCATCCAGGAGTTGCAAGGCACTCGCAGAAACCCAGTGGTTTTTAGCGGAGAATTCTTTCAAGCCGCAAGCGGATACATTCGCCCTTTTGCATGGCACCAATGAAGCCAATGTTCATCTTGGGGGTTGCTGGCAAGCATTGATTGTAACTCATTCTGATATTTCAAAGAAGTAGCAGGTGCTACTAGTTTGCTCACATCAACGTTTAGACGACGGCTTTTATGAACCCCACCAAATCGCAAGACGAACTTGGCACACACTAACGCATGATCGCAATCCAGGCATGTGCTCCAGAAGGAGCGACAGTCTTGTATGCATCCTCACAACCGGAAACTGACAGCAACATGATCAATCTGAGTCCAAGCTTGATTCGCAGAGGGGGGACGCCAGGTAGCGCTATGGCGATGGCTGTTCCGGAAGTTGGTGCTGGCTAGAAATAGGTTGAGATCCGCCCAAAGCTGCAGAAGACGGTCCCCATTATCTGACCTGCCACCATGTAGTCCCCTTGGCCACCTAGACGATTCTCCTCTGAGCTTAGATGGCCGACCTGTGCATTCAAATCCCAAGCCAGCACTACAATATCCCTCCGACCCGCCTGTTTCTAAAGATCGCTACGTTGGTGGTAGAACTCATCCTTCATTGCATCCGGGCTGCAATCCGTCGGTGCATAGGCAGGAACAACAAATAGACATCGCCTATCTGGCCTACTACTCCTTACTTTCGTATAACCTCCCAGCCTCACAGCACATGAACGACTGTTCATAGGAATCCAGTCGAGCAATGCAGCTTCGGCTCTAGCGCTCAGTGCGACACCGACACCAGCTACACCGGATCCCGACGCCACAGGGCCCCCGGATAGGCGCAGGTGGTACATACTGTTAGAACTCCCAGATGGAGAGGATAGTCGAAGCACTTCACTGGGATCTTGAATGCGGGTCTCTGAAATGCAGCCGATATCGATAGCGAGTCTTTCCAAAGTTCTTACCAACCCTGCCTGTTGTCCGATTTCCATCAGCGTCCGAACATTGTAGGTGGCCAGCTTGAACGCGGAACGCGGTTTCAGGATATCTGTGTTAGATGTCACATTGGGGACAACCATTTTGAAGATTACTCACTAACATCTCGAAACGACACAGATAGACTGGCAATCTAGACAAAGGCGAAAGGCTCTCGAAGGTTAAGAAGTCAAGCTTAGCAAAGGTAAAATACAGGAAAATGTGTATAAAAATGAAAGTAAGGAAAGACACAAGTTACTTGAGGCATCATTATTACTTGAAATCATTTTGTAATTGCGTGCGATAAGTTTCATTGATAGATTGTTGCTTCATTTGATTTATTGTGTGAGGGCTGAGAGACTGTCCGGGCGCCCAGACCGAAGCAGGTGGTTTTATTAAGGGACCACACCCCGAGCCTTTGACTTACAGTCTAATCCGCAAGGCAGCGGAGCTGCATTCCCATGGTTCCCGTTGACCCATATGGGTTCATACGACATTTGATCCGATCGGATACTGGAGCCCATGTACCCCATGGTAACTGCTTTTAGTTTAACCGCTATCCAAACAACCTTCTTGACATGGTAGGACCTGCAGGGACATGAGTCCAAGTCAGTTTAGCTTGTTGGGTCATTGCGGTATTCAAGCCCGACCACCACGGCAAGTTAGCAGTTATCGGCCGGGCCATGCTGAATTATTATTATTATTATTACATTAGAAATCAGTTAAAACTTTCTCCATACTTTAGCATTGAAGAGTTGTACCCGAACTAAGGATGCATAGGTGTGCAATCTTTTACAGTCGAGTGATCGTACTACACGGATGAATCTGAATATAAGTTTGAATTTCTTGGACCTCTTCATTCTGCACTGGCCTCACCACTCGGTTGTCGAACAATCACTCCCGCTTTCGAATCTTACCCCCATCCATCACACCACCACTTCAGCCGGGACAACTGTGTAGTATCATCAACTCTCATATTTTAAGTGTGACTCTTAGTCTGTGTCACTCGGATATCTCGTCGCTGCAACTGACTTCTAAACAACTATTGATTCCGCAAACTTCCTGTTCACCTCGAATTTCACTTGGTCTCAGTGTTTATTTAACACACTCAGTTATCGCAGCGATCACATGGTCAGGAAACAAGCTGAGTTTAATAATCAAGCCCCTACTCTGCTCCGAGGTATTTCATTCACACTCAGACGAAGGGATTACACACGTGAATAAGCCTAGATCACCGACCTACAACCCACACGTTGAACATCAGTCATATTTCTCATCTCATTCACTCACATAAATCAAACACTTTTCCTACCTAGCATCGCGCCTTCACAAGTGTGTATGGAGGAGTAGGAGTAGAATCCTTGAAAAGATGATCATTTATCGACTACACGGGAAGAGTCCCCTAACTCTAATTTAATTGCTTAACATTAATCCGTAACCAGTAGTTTGAAAACAACATCATGTGTAATATCCTACGATTTCTGGTTCAAAAGCGGAGTACGAAATCTGTGATGAAGAATAATTTGGCTGACACAAGCCAATGCAGTTCACCAATTCAACTGAACATTCAGCGCAGGACTATGCATAAAAAAGTTCTGACTGGCCCTTAGTGGACCACCAGTAATCTTACATTCCGTAATGAATAAATTACTTAATCACACTTTGATGTTCAGCCTCTGCTATTCCGTTACTTTTATCGATGAGCATATGCCCGAACGTCTGTTTGCACCCATATAGTAAAACACAACACACTGAACAGTACTCACTCTTCATGGACGATATCACCTATCTCAACGACTCCACAAGTACTTCAAGTTGGAAACGTCAAACGAGTCCTTTGTACTCATGCCTTGATTTCAGTAGATGTCATCTAACAACATATAACCTAACTCTCCATAACAATGAAACACATCAACCTACTTAACCACTCCACTCCTTGTCATAATGTCATGTCACCACGTCGACTGGTACAGAAGCAATCACTTGCATCTCAAAGATAGAAAGTACACTCTAAACATCCCTATATTACCACCCGAAATGTTTAAATAACCTCCGAATTTCACTGATGACGCGTAAGCAATACACCAACTAATGCAATCATATTGTGAGCCTGAGAAGAACAACTACACTTTAGAATACGGCACATTTCTACCACTTGACTAATACACTTTCACCAATTCGTGAATACATGAAACTACTTTTCGTCGCTTCCACTGCCTTCTGTCACAGAATGTGTCTGTGAAATTGTCGAACAACACAGATTATCCACGTACACATGTATTTACATTTGTCATTCAATCATTCGCATGAATAACATACATTCCGTTGGAATTAAGAACAACGCAATTAAGAACGCAACGACAGAAATCTAGCATCTTTCAGGCTATGTACAAGAAGGTTTTCAAACGATTAACTCATAATGCTCTAAACATCCCAAAACATGAATCCAATGATGCAGTTGAACCAGGCTTGAGAAGATTTTGACTAGTACCACTGCTAGCAATGCCAGTCCAATGCAGACAGGAAGAGCCCTCACAATGATCCGCTGTACGGGGAATCACTCTGTATTACACAAATAAAAAGAAGATGAAATGAGGACAATCTAATTATTTAATTGTTTCCTGGCGAACGAAAACACACAAATTAATAAAATGCGACATCCTGCTTATTGCAAAGGGAGAGGGGGAGGAGGAGGAGACAATTGACGCTATTTTCAGACGTCTTATTTAACGGTTACTTGTCAAATGATGTAAATGATGAAAAATCAAATGAGAAACTCTGCATAAAACATCCAAATCTTCAACAGTGCGATAATCTTTAGCAAAAGTACTAGACCAAAATAATCCACGACAGTCCCACTATGTCTACAGCCAAACACAGAAGGTTAGCTGAACTACTTGTTCCCTTTTCTCCAACTATAGAATAAACAGGCTGTGAGATTCAGTCAGTTACGTATGCCATGCAACCTCAGAATAAAGCCATCATACACAACACATATCTGACAAATACATGCAATTTTCCACACATATTCACATTCACAAAGTCAAGAAAGTACCACAAAGCATTATTATTGTACTTACCCTTTGTTCACCATTACTGCATCTCCGTTCCGATCACTGAAACAAATCCCCAATTCCATAAGATCTTTTCCGGTTTCTTCCACCAAACACTTGGAATGTCGACAAAGTTATTTCCGGATACTTTTGAAGGTTTCGCTGAATAACTTCATGCATTTATTCCCCTTGATGAATTTGAATAAAGCAAGAACAAGAGTGGTTTGTGCAGAATAACATGGTACCATCATTTATTTCGTTGGCTTCTCATCAGCTGCTTACAGCCTATATAAATTATGAGGTTTACGTACGTACGCATACATTTATTTTGTTTTAACTTAAAACTGCCTGTGTAAAAACTATATAAACGCAATTTTCCGAGCACTGATTACTAATTGTGGAACTTTCTGTCAACTGACAACATGTAAAATTTGCAAGTATGTTTAAACGCTTCTGTACGTAAACCTCAAAATTTATATAGGCTGTAAGCAGCTGATGAGAAGCCAACGAAATAAATGATGGTACCATATTATTCTGCACAAACCACTCTTGTTCTTGCTTTATTCAAATTCATCAAGGGGAATAAATGCATGAAGTTTCTCAAAAAACGCGGGAAGTTAGCATGGGTTCTATATATGATCTTGAAATCATGGTCAGGGTTGACAGAGTGACAGAGGTCGATCAGTTGTTCCAGAATAGAGCTTCGCACACACTTTCCTTCTCTCTCGTAAAACCATGCTGCTTGAATATGTTCTCGTATCCGCATAGAAAGCGTCCGCTGACTACGGCCAATGTACCTTGCTCCACAAGAGAGGCAGGTGAACTGGTAGATGCACATGAAGGCAGCCAGATGGGGGAGCTTATCCTTTACAGAGGTAGAGAACAACTTGCGGCTAGTGAACGTCATATGTAATTTTGCTGCAAAGAACGTCTTACTGACTGATTTAGAGAGACGATTTTTGAGCATATCTGAAGCTTGATCACCTTTGAATTCCGACTTCATGAATAAGGTTCTCTTTGGAACTGAGTCGGTGACCAGTTTACACTGCTTATCTTTCATGTTGCTGTCAATAAATCGGTTAGCGTAACCGTTTTCTGCGAGCGTGGCTTTTAAGAAGTCAAGTTCTGAGTAGATGCAATCAGAACTACAAATTTTCCTTATCCTAAAGCAGAGCGAATGAATTAGGTTCCCTTTCCTGGAATTAGGCACCCAACTGTAAGAAATTAGCTAGTTGTCCGTTCCATGTACGTTTCCGGTGGACAGATCTTTCGAGAGATTCGTCATTAAGTCTGCTAAGGCACACATCAAGAAACGGAATACTTAGTTCCGATTCCTTTTCTATGGTGAATTGTAAAGAAGGATGGCAGTTGTTGAAAGCAAACAAGACATCATCAAGAACTACGTTTTTATCGCAGATAACGAAAGTGTCGTCTACGTATCTTCTATAAATGTCAAAATGACTGATGGTTTGACTAAGTTGAGAATTTTCAAGCTCTACCATAAAACAATCAGCCAACAAGGGACCCGGTGGTGATTCCATGGCAATGCCATCTCTCTGTCTAAAAATCTCATTATTGAAGGTGAACTGAACATTCAACGTGCATCTCAATAAAGGTTCTTCGTGAGGTGGATTGTCGGCAACGCTATTTCTAAACTATGTGTATCAACATAGTCACACACATAGAAACAGTTTCTATGAGAGGAACATTGGTAAATAGCGAGGTCACATCTAATGAGAACATGACTTTGTCTGAGACATTAAAATCTTTAATGCTATCAATAAATTTAAACGTATCATCAATGGAAAACTTAGATACTTGCCTTCTGACTGGTTCCAGTATTTCAGCTAGCTATTGAGCGATTCCGTGATAAGTAGAACCCGCCATATCGGGATCGGACGGAGGGGTAATCCTGTCTTATGAATTTTCGGTAGTCCATACAAACGTGGTATCATGGAGCCTACTGGTCGGATGCTTTCAAATATTTCTGACGAGATGACTGACTTATTCCTCATCTTCTTTAAGACATCGACCAGTTGATTTTCAATTAGATGAGTCTCATTCTTTTTGCCATCGGGTTTGGCCAATTTCATTTGATCATAGAGGATCGCTGAGATTTCAGCCATTATAATCTCGGCGATTCATAACTACAACACCTCCACCTTTGTCCGGACGGCATATGCTAATATCGCCATTCTTCTCTAGTTCTTTAAGTTGGTCTATATGCTCTTTAGTCAGAAGATTATTCCAGCTAGGTCTTGAACTAGTAAACTGATGATAGCAATCAAGAACTGTGGATTTAAGGTGTTGGAATTCCTCAGGTGATGTGGGTGTCAGATCGCTGGTCTGATTAATAAGATTTTCAAATTGCACTTGAGTATACACTCTGTTGACTTCGGACGAACTGTTACAGAATTTGTGGCCTTGTAGTTGAATTTCAGAAAGAGTGACGGAAGAATAATTAAATACATATTTATTGAGATCAGTCAGAAATCTGTTTTCTGCCACTACCTGCTTGAGGCTGTCAAGATGCTTGAGGTTAGCAGACTGGGACTGTTTCCCGATGACACAAGAAACGCATTCTTCGAATTGCCGGAGTTCATCAGTTGAAAGTTCAAACAGAACGTGACTTCTCACAGATATGTTCCTGTTTAGCTCTACAACACTAGAACTGATCGCATCAATACGATTAAGTGTATGGTGCTTTAATTCATAGGATGTATAGATGCTGGAAGTGGTCGCATAATGAAGGGTTAGTAAGCAAATAAAATAACATGGTGTGCAATTTGATACGATAGAATTCAACATTCCGAAACATTTTTGATTTAGAATGACAAATGGGTATGGTGATTGAAAATTTCTTTTGCTGTACTGTTTAAATGCTTACTGTTGCTTGTTAAATTTATTACATAAATGACAATTAATTCTGACAAATACAAAATCCCAACTCCACCCCTTTATGTGTTGTTGGTTGATTTCTTGTGGTTCGGTCATTGCGAAATCCTACTATTACGAATAACCATTACAATTTGCCGTCGCCATGGAATGATATAATCTTGGAAAGCTTCCTATGAATGATTCACTGAGGGGAATCGACGATTACCTTGAATGCTTTGACGCATGATGCGATTTCGCTAGATACGTACAGACTAGTGAAAACTCTGTCATTTCCAGATCAACCCAATTCTCTGCCATACGATTAGCTCCGTGAACATCTAATACATCACTTACACATAAAAACCTTCCAAACACGAAGAAAATGACGTGGCTGACGCGAGCTTAAGAACATATTATATAAATTCAATAAAGCACATCCCACCATAAGCTTGACTAAGGAAGAAGAAGAAAATCACTCTATCCCGTTTCTGGACGTCCTAGTGACTAGATGAACAGACGGAACAATATTTATTAATAACTATGAATGTTTCATCAACATATCGACAAAAATCAAGATTATATATTACATCTTTAAGCGGACCATTTTTTCGGCTAAGCGGTCGACGTGCTCTACCACTTCACTCCCTATTTCTAATCTAGGAGTCGGTGTAGTCCAGTCCTGTAACATCATCTTGCATTTGGCGGGAGCGAATCGCATGCCAAACATTCGTAGATTGCAGCTCAAGGTGTTTAGAAGACTCTGCTGTATTTTGTCAGCGTCCTCGCCTAGAAGGACAATATCGTCTGCATATTCTAAGTCAACGAGATTATTCCCTGGTAGCAAGTCAATCCCTGAGTCGGAGATTCAGACTGTCTCTCGTACCACACAAACACAGACCAACTGACCACGTATTAGCAGACAAACAAACAGAAAGAAGCTTTCAACTGTGGAGGCGTGTGGAATTAGCCTCTATATTGCCAGTCACCATGTACACGACGGAAACGGTCGTCACTCTGAATCCGACATGTCTTACATACTGACCGTTCATGTCATCAGTGTCACAAATATTCACATTCTATCTCCTCCTCTTCTTCTCCTTCCCCTTCTTATCATCGTCATCACATCATCATTATTCTTCATTCCTTTGAAACTATCCCTTGCCAGGACAGTTACATACACCATTGCTGTCATTAGTATCTGTGTGTATTAGTGTGATTCATGGATATTAATATTATTATCATCATTATTACTATTACTATTATTATTACTATCACAGCCATCCTTATTATTCGACTTGGAATTCTCCATATATTTGAGTTATTTCTCTGATAACTAGTTGTTGATTCAAGTGGTGTCAGTGAACCGTGAGACGTCACAGTCACACCTATTAATTAACCACTCACACACACACACAGTGTGAAGAGGATTCTCCAGATCAACTGTGGTCAATCGACCCTCCTATCATCACTTGGCGAAAACACAATTTCATCGGTAGGATTCTGAACCTACTTACGAGGCGACCACACTTTCGCCCCTCAAACTGTCTACAACCACATTCCTACCGTCTCACGTCTAGATATTTGCAAGCTCAACAGAAATCTCTTAAATCCACTACAACTTTTCCATCACACATCTTTCGTCAACACACACACACATACACGATCGAATCCAACGTGTCCACACCACATCATCAAAACATTAACAGACACATCACGCACGTAAAAGTCAAAACTACAATGCAAACAGCCACATGGTCACACTTCCTTTACAGACATTATCTTAGATAACAATAATCGGACCACGCACATGGTCCGGGGTTCGATCCCCGGCCACCGACGCACTCCTCTACCTAGCTAAGCCAGAAATAATGCTGGTGAAGAGGAAAGGTTGGGCATGGAGCTAGCAACCCCATCCTGTAAAATTAAACACTTCTACAAAAGCCTCAAGCCACTAGCTTGAGGTCCTATGTTCCACTGGTAACGTGAATGATAGAAAATCGAACTGTCAGGCGTGCACACGTCTTCATCAGTATCATCACCATCACCGACACGTACATGCTACTCCGTGACCATGACCGCACCGTAACAATAAACTATCTCCTCTCCGCTCAATTAAATCGAAAAGCCAAACAACATGGATTTAAATTAAATGTAATTTATATGAAAATAAGAAATCTCCTCACAAGTAAAACATCCCGTCAACTTGACTGCTGTGAACTTTAAAACGACCACCATCCAATAGAATCTCTGGCTTCTCTACGTCTAATAACCATTCACGGGCACGAAATGAAGCCAAGTGAGAATAATAAGTTGGTGCTGGATACGAGACACTACGCGAACACCTCATGTACGCATAGCATAGGTGGTAGGTGAACAACTGCAAAGCGTCCGATGTCCAGTTACTGTCGTCATACAAAACGTGAAAGTGAGCAGGTTTCGAAGCACCCTACAAAAAAATCAATGATATTCATTAACTAACACAGGCAACTAACAACAATTTACCTGAATCCCTTCATTGTGCACAGTAAGAATCGAATTCCCTGGGAGGTGGGATTCCTCTATCAACCACCATTCCTGGCTCCACGTTTCTCGCCCTACAAAAACATTCGAAAAGGCAAATCGCTATTCTTAACAGGAACGCCCACACACGCGTGAGCAACCACAACAACAACAAAAAAGATACAGTAGCTCCACACAAAAAACCATGAGTATTAACACCTCGTACTCACCTAGGCTCGTGTGTTCGAAAATTGATGCGGTAACCCCTCGAAACAACAATATAATTAATCCCGAGATCATAACCACGACGAATGCCTGCACATGCTCTTTGGATTTCCGCCAACTCCTCTACCAACACATTCTCGATTTGTTCTTCTTGACAAACGCCATCACGATAGAACAGTATACGCGTTGGGAAACGCCCATTTGTATTTCGAAAGTAAACCTGCAAAACAACAACAAAAACAAGCAACAACAGAAGCGTGCTCCAACAACATCAATCACTTCACAGTTGGCCCACAATGGAAACCAACCTCAAGCAACTCCTTGACAATAAGACGCATGTCGTCGATTATTTCTCTCTCTCTCTTTCTCCGCTAATCCCCTCTTCATTTGTCGCCTGTTGGCGGATCACTACCGCGTATCTCATTAGATCCGGTCATACACTACCGATAACAGAAGCCACTGACTTCCGAAATTCACCATGAGTTTGTGTCGGCGCCGGATGGGACACGCCCGCCCCAAACACCATCAGAAACCCACCATCATCAGGTCGGGGATCTGCCAGTTCACACCACCCAGTTTACCATTCAGCTTCAAGTAAGAGGTTAACTCCATTATGGATAAGATTTTATTTTGATAAATCACACAGTGTTGTACAGTTATATTAACTGATGACGTTTCGAGCACAAACTATTGCCCCTCATAATCATATCAAGTTGCTCACTCACACAACTGTTTTTCTTCATTTATATACATGTGTGGAATCGATTAGATATTGGATTACAAATCAGTATGAGATAAAGCACATTCGGAAATAAAAATACGAGTGTTATCCATCAAAAAGCGAGTGTTTATACAGTCATTATAAGCCATCTGTTAGAATGTTGTGATGTGTTTGAATTGAAATAGAATTTTAAGATTATTTATTATCCTCTTCTGATTTGACTTGAGGTAGTAATATCTTCCATATTTCTGGCATTTGCATTGAGTCGTTTCTGTTGCATGTGTTGGATGTAGACTCATTGAACAAGGATTCCGAAATCAATCTCTCTGTCTCCACCCACCTATATAACTTTTTAGAATTTTAACCCTCTCCCACCATGCTATTGTGTGGTTGTTTGTTATTGAGTGAAGTGCAATAGCTGAGCTTTTTCTAAACTACCTAACTTTTCAGGGTCAACCATTCTTCCCTTGGCTAAATTCCTATGTTCTGATCATCTGACTATCCCCGACCTACTAGTTTGACCTATGTGGTTGACCTAACACATAGTCATTGCAGGGTATTTTGTAAATTATATTATTTTGTCTAACCGGGTCAACAGGGTCCTTTAACCTACAGAGCCTGTCCCTGAGTGAGTTTGTAGGTTTGAATGCCACCCTAATTCCTGCTTTATTAAGTAAGAATCCCTACGTAGGGTCTCAGATGTCCCCTCCTTATATGGGATAACAGTGGATAACTTATATTCTCTCTTATTTTTGTTATCATTACTAGTTCCACAATTATTTTTATTTTATTTTTGGCCTTTACTGATCTTCCTGATGAATTTTATACATTACATGAATTTTTACATTATCTCATACTGATTTTTAATCCAATATCTAATCGATTCCACACATGTATATAAATGAAGAAAAACAGTTGTGTGAGTGAGCAACTTGATATGATTATGAGGGGCAATAGTTTGTGCTCGAAACGTCATCAGTTAATATAACTGTACAACACTGTGTGATTTATCAAAATAAAATCTTATCCATAATGGAGTTAACCTCTTACTTGAAGCTGAATGGTAAACTGGGTGGTGTGAACTGGCAGATCCCCGACCTGATTATGGGTGGGTTTCTGATGGTGTTTGGGGCGGGCGTGTCCCATCCGGCGCCGACACAAACTCATGGTGAATTTCGGAAGTCAGTGGCTTCTGTTATCGGTAGTGTATCACCGGATCTAATGAGATACGCGGTAGTGATCCGCCAACAGGCGACAAATGAAGAGGGGATTAGCGAGAGAGAGAGAGAAATAATCGACGACATGCGTCTTATTGTCAAGGAGTTGCTTGAGGTTGGTTTCCATTGTGGGCCAACTGTGAAGTGATTGATGTTGTTGGAGCACGCTTCTGTTGTTGCTTGTTTTTGTTGTTGTTTTGCAGGTTTACTTTCGAAATACAAATGGGCGTTTCCCAACGCGTATACTGTTCTATCGTGATGGCGTTTGTCAAGAAGAACAAATCGAGAATGTGTTGGTAGAGGAGTTGGCGGAAATCCAAAGAGCATGTGCAGACATTCGTCCTGGTGAAGAGCCAGTGATCCTTTATAATGTCAGTACAATTGATCGGAACAACATTATAAGTGATCGCGGGTTCTTCACCAGGACGAATGTCTGCACATGCTCTTTGGATTGCCGCCAACTCCTCTACCAATACATTCTCGATTTGTTCTTCTTGACAAACGCCATCACGATAGAACAGTATACGCGTTGGGAAACGCCCATTTGTATTTCGAAAGTAAACCTGCAAAACAACAACAAAAACAAGCAACAACAGAAGCGTGCTCCAACAACATCAATCACTTCACAGTTGGCCCACAATGGAAACCAACCTCAAGCAACTCCTTGACAATAAGACGCATGTCGTCGATTATTTCTCTCTCTCCGCTAATCCCCTCTTCATTTGTCGCCTGTTGGCGGATCACTACCGCGTATCTCATTAGATCCGGTCATACACTACCGATAACAGAAGCCACTGACTTCCGAAATTCACCATGAGTTTGTGTCGGCGCCGGATGGGACACGCCCGCCCCAAACACCATCAGAAACCCACCACTGTCCATCATCAGGTCGGGGATCTGCCAGTTCACACCACCCAGTTTACCATTCAGCTTCAAGTAAGAGGTTAACTCCATTATGGATAAGATTTTATTTTGATAAATCACACAGTGTTGTACAGTTATATTAACTGATGACGTTTCGAGCACAAACTATTGCCCCTCATAATCATATCAAGTTACTCACTCACACTTCCACTTCCAAGGTGTGGGCAGCCGGGAAGTAACAATCGCCCTCACAATCCGAAATGCACACGAAACCTCTCTATTACTCACTCATCTTTGTCTTCATCTTCATCTCTATCATCTTGCCTTCCTTCCACTGATGCAACTCCTCGACTTGATAGCTCTCCACTTCCTCTCCACTCTGCGTCCACTAAAAACGATGGAAGCCAAAAAACCACCACCGACAGCCTCTTAAAGCCGCGCCACCAATTTCATATAGGAGCTCTTAATGTTAGGACACTTTGCCAAATAGGACAACAAGCATCACTAGCCAAGACCCTGGCATCACGAGCCATTGATGTATGCTGTGTTTCAGAAACACGCATACAAGACCCAAGTGTGGTTATTCACCTAACCCCACCTGGCCAACAGGTTGAATCTGCAAAATTCACCTTGAGGGTGTCAGGAGATGCCACAGCTAGTTCACGAGGATTAGCTGGCGTAGGGATAGCTTTGAGTACTAGGGCAGAAAAGACATTGCTTGACTGGATCCCGGTAGATAGCCGAATGTGTGCTGTCCGCCTGAACGGATCAGTAAGAAGGAGGAAGGACTGCACTACTCGCCGATGCCTTTTCGTAATCTCCGCCTACGCCCCCACTGACTGCAGTTCAGATGAAACGAAGGATGAGTTCTACCAAAAGCTGTCTAGTTTGGTGGAAAGGCTAAACGCTCAGACATAGTCGTTCTAGCTGGTGACTTTAACGCTCAAGTAGGGAAATTGTGTCAATCTGAGAAGGATGTCGGTGGCACCTATGGAGCTCCGTGCCAGCGAACCGACAACGGTGACCGTCTCCTACAGTTCTGCTCTGATAATCATTTGTTTCTTGTAAGCACTAACTTTAAACACAAGGAGAGACACTGTTTGACTTGGAGACCCCCTTCATCAAACCAACGCTGGACACAAATAGACCACATAGCAATAAGCTATCGTTGGCGTGGGTCGGTAGGAGATTGTCGCTCCTTCTGGAACACGTGCGTAGATACCGACCATGCACTGGTCCGCGCTCGGGTGTGCTTACGACTGAACGGACGTAGGAAACAGCTGGCGGTAAAACCATCACGTCCCCAGCTCGATCAGGAAACTAAATCCGTATTTGAGGAAGAACTAGCTAAACACATATCTGTGTTCGACAGCTGTGCTCACCCTGAAGAAGCTTGGAAAAATATCCAGGCAGCCATAGATACAGCTGTAAAAGCTGTGAATAAGGTAAACCCAAAGGTGAGTAAAAACCACTGGATCTCCACCGCCTCATCCGAACTGATAGATGCTAGAAGACTTATTCCGGCGAGCTCCGAATTCAATGAGGAGCGAAAGCTGCACAAGAGGAAACTTACGAAAAGTCTCCGCAAGGACCGTGAACAGTGGTGGGCGACAAAAGCCAAAGAGATGGAGAAAGCTTTGAGGATAGGCAACACCAGGCAACTCTTTGGACTCATCAGGGAAACGGGTGGGAGAAGACAAATCATCAGTGAGACAATCTCGGAAAAAAATGGCACTATAATTAGCTCCCAGGATAGACGACTGGATCGTTGGAAAGAGCATTATGAGGAGCAGTTTAATTTGCCCACAGCCACGCTCAACCTTCCGAGCATCCAACACCTCCCTGAATGGGATATAGACACAGGTCCTCCGTCACTAACTGAGGTTACTAAAGCTGTCACCAATCTGAAACTAGGCAAAGCAGCGGGACCTGATGGAATGACGCCAGAGGTATTTAAGTACGGTGGAGACAGCTTACTGTCCGGATTAACTGAGGTACTAGGCAGCGTCTGGGAATCAGAAGAAGTCCCATCGGGTTGGTGTAAGTCACTGATTATCCCCATATACAAGAAGGGAGACAAGTCTTCCTGTGATAATCACAGAGGGATTAGCTTGACTAATATAGTATCTAAAGTCTTAGGCTCAATAATCATGCGTAGACTGAGTGGTGCTCGGGAAGCACAAACACGAGAGAGCCAGGCAGGCTTTAGACCAGGAAGAGGGTGTATTGATCATATCTTCACCCTCCGACAGATTCTAGAACATAGGCATTCC